AACTCGAGACCGGAAAAAAGATCAGATCCCACCTATGCCACCAAGGATTACTATCCTTACAAGCTATCGTACTTTTTTTCTGGAATGATAGGAACATTTGCTGAAACATCTGCGCCCCTTGAAACTGTAGCGAAATTGTGTTCAAATCGTACTCCGATGGAATCGTAGAAGCACTGAATACGGTTTGTGGACTTGAGTCCCAAAAAGTAGCGAACATTAAAAAAGGGATTGATCGCTGCCGATGCATCACCCTTTTGACTCATGCGAACGCTTTCTCTGCAACAGTATTTACAATGCAGCAGACGACTGCAATTTTGTCAGTAGTAATCTGACAATCAATTGGGGGACGTGAAAAACAACCAATTTCCTGTTTAAAAGATGCACGGCACATTTATTCGCGTAATTAGGACTAAGCAGAAAGCTAAGAAGATAATTGACGCAGTCAGTGAACAAACAAAAAGAAAACAGGCACTTCTACTAGCTCAGCGAAGCTAACTGCTTATGTGGGTTGAAAAAGACCTTTACCTTCGACGACCAGTAGCCCATACGAGAGACGCATCTGGTGACTGCCTAGGACTTTGCCGGCCATACTTTTGGCAATAAATACTGAGCCTCTCTTTTGTTTTTTACCATCACCATTTTCATCATCTTATTGAGAAAGCCTTCCTGTGATTCATACTCTTGATTTTTCGTTTCAAACTGCTCAATACGCTCTCCAAAACCTTTACGATCTAAGCGCAAAGGGCTGCTGATTCCATTTTCAGAGCAGTTTTTTGAGAAAGGCTGCAAAGGAATTCTTCTACACTTCAACCAATGATATTAATCAATAAACATAGTCCCTCCTGGTGCTGCTAAAAAAACGCTTAAGTAAAGCTTCAAAATATACTTCACCATACTCCTTAACTTTAATTTTCATTTAAACAAAAATACAATTTCTTCTCTTCGTCGATTCTATCGTAGAATACTCATTGAGGAGAGGTACAGCTGCATATCTGCTGGTACCCGAAAATCATTATGGAGGTGAACTTATATTAACATGCCACTATGATTTTGAATGGAAGTAAAAACGCATGGCGCATACTATGAAGAGCTGACCAAGGTTGAATGTGTCACCCTTCCAGTGGCCTAAAAAACTGAGACTAAAGAGAAAACCACAAACTAAGCAGGAAAAGGCGTCACGAGATTATTCAAAGCAGCTCTCGCCACATATCTCGCCTCGATAGTAAACATAGTGTCGTATTGGAGGATAATCCCTGATCCCATGAACACCCTACCCTTTTTCCCTCTCGTGTCGAAAAGGTGGCTCTTTTGTCGTTAGCATGCAAGATTCTATTCAATGTACTCACGATCAGATTAGTTTACTATGCGCTGACCGCAGCATAAGCAACGCTCTAAGTTGCTCGATCCCACTCTTTCATCTTGCATAAGAATAAAATCCGACATCAGCTCACTTGACGCAAAAATTATCTTTTGCAAAAACACGTGACACCAAGGGAAGGCCTGTGAAAATGGTGATACAGGCCAAAAAAACAACTGCATACTCTTCTTTCTGCTTGTCAACAAAATGTGACACGACCTGTCGCGATGCTGGGGGAACATACAGCAATACGGGATCATCTCTGCTAGTCTCCTACGACAACTGTTTTCAATGCATATAGCTGGCATTGCTAAAAAACATTCACAGGAAGGCAACAGGGAGCTGTGTCAACTATGAAAAGGGCTTGAAGACACAATCCAGCCACAGTCATTCCGCTGAATTTCACAATTCCACAATTTCCACATTTCACAAATTCTCATCAATTTGTGAAATGTGGAAATTCAAGTCAGCTGGCTCCCCCCTCCTTGATACCCTTAACCTTTGATAGTATATCTGGTTCACAACGAAAAAGTTAAATACGAAGAACTCTAGTTTTGCGGAAAAGGGTGAGCCACGTGCCGAGAAAATCAGGAATTCAGTACAAGACTAGAGCCCAAGGCCAAGAGTGACCGTCACGTTGTACCGCGGATGACCACTCCCTCTCTCCCCATTCCTCTACAACGGACTTCCATATAAACCCAACATTTCCGGAGGCATGGAGTACGGAAATTTAGCTCTTCAAAAAAGGTTTTTTTTTTCTCAAGAAAGTAAGGTATTTGATATGACCCGTATGGAAAAGAGCGCTCGAAGCGACTTAACGAGACCGCAGACAGCAGCAGCAAGACATGTAGCATCTTTCGAAAAAAAAAGAAGTGCTCGCACCATGACATGGATCCACCCACGAAACCACATTTGAAACTAAAGTGTAGCTGGAGTATTGCCTAAGACAACATGGACAATAGTCACCACATTACGTTTACGCAAGATAATTGATGCTAGAGCATCTGTAAACCGCTTCCTTCTGAATGAGCTTTCAAATGAATCAGCGAATCAGAAGCGCGACCGAGGCG